AATTCTAAATTCCAAATTCCAGATTCTAGATTCAAAATTCAAAATTCTAAATTCTAAATTCTAAACTCCAGATTCCAAATTCCAGATTCAAGATTCTAAATTCTAAATTTGATCTCAGCCAAAAGTGAAACGACATCGGTAACAGCAAGTTTACGTGTTTCCTCAGGTCGTTAATTTGTAACCGCGAAGGATTGGAAACGGAAGCGCGACAGGTCTTGTCGTAAAGTTGGAATACGAATCAGGATTGGTTGCCGACACGGTTTGTTTTAACGACAGCCGAGGAAAGCGAGTGACACGACAACGCCTCGTCCGGATGCAACACGGCGCAGAGCCGGATGCACCGGTTCTCTCGTCGTACGCGCACAGTTTATCCTGCCTACTACCACCCCACACGCACTGTGAAAAATATGGTGTAACGAGTGGAGCGTATCCTTTCCACGGCTCGTACGAGCGGAACGACGTGACAATGTCAACAAGTGAACGAAAACTTCCGGTTCAACCGTCAGTGTTGAACCGAGATGTTATTCGAGACGATTTCTGCTCGAATTTGAAACGTTTCTTTAACGAGATGAACGAGATAACACGATCGGATTATCGAAACAATTATTCGGATGAATCGAATTCGAATTCGATCGACACTTCCAATTCCTTTTTCTTTTAACGCTCAACGAAACGATTTGGATAAATTTTATTCGATTTGTATGTTTGATAACGTAATACAGACTATCGAAATAATTATTAGAACTGATCAACTTTAAAACGATTCAATCGAGTTTGAACAAATTTCATTCGATTTGAATTTCATCGAAACAATTATTCGAATTAATCAACTCCTACGAGACGATTCCTCTTTTAAAGAGTTAATGTAATCAGGTTTGAACAAGTTTCATTCGATTCAATTTGGATTAAGATAATATAATACAGATCATCGAAACAATTATTCGAACTGATTAACTCTTCCAAGACGATGTCACTTTTAAAGAATTAATGCAATCAAGTCTGAACAAATATCATCCGATTCGATGCCAATTTGGATTACGATAATATACACATATATGATATACACAATCGTGACCATAAACTCTTCCAAATCCGATCAATTCTTCCAACTTTTCCAATCAAATTCGTTCGATCATCGAAACGAAACCAATTCCACTTTTCCAGTTGCTCAACTGATACTTTCGATTCACGTCGCTTTCGACGCCACCTTCCGGTCCCGTGGCTAATTAAACGCGCGTGAGACACGTGAACGACATAACTGCCCCCTGTCCCCTCGCTCCTGATCCATGGATGCCACGTACGGCCGTAAATTTTACAATCCGTGTGACTGTGTTTCGGGTGCCCTCCCCTCCTCCCCTCGACTCGATCGGGCCACAGATCGGAAAACGGTTATTCGTTGGACGAATACTAAGAGCGGAGGGCTTCCGGAGCGTGCGTCGTTGTGTTGCGTCCACACGATTGAAAGAAAGAAAAAATTATCTCCACGAGCCGATCAAAGATCACCGGATATCCTTTAGGGCCCCCGCCCAATTTCGAATTAGAATTCGAAAAAGAAAAAATTGCCATGGCAATCACCTTTGCATTTTTTCTCTTCTTTTCTTTTTTTTACGATTATATATTTCTATGTATCTCTTCTTTTTAGTGTCTTTCTTCGTGATTCGAAAAGCGATGACGAGAGGGATATATACCAATATATATATATAAAGAATATTCTAAAATTCACAAGATTTGAATTTTGCGCCATTTGTGTGGTGAAATATTGCCAACGAAAAAAAAAAAAGGATAGCGCGACACGATTATTAAAAATGGAACGCTACGCGAAAGAGCAATGCGTTGAGCGATATTTTAAAAATAAGATTTTTCAAACAAAATCGAGGCTCGTTTTCATCTTGATGGATCGGTTAATCGAGAAAATTGTCACGTTTAACGTTCGGAAAATTCACGTTTGGTGGGGATTTTGAGTTGGAGGCATCATCGGACCATTCTTCTTCGAAAATGCGGTTGGTTAGGCAATAACGGTTAATGGTGCTCGCTATCGCGACATGGTAATCCAGTTTTTTCTGCCTAAATCTCAAGATATGGATAAGGACGACGCGTGGTTTCAACAAGACGGTACCACATGTCACACAGCTCGAGAAACGATTCAATCGCTGCACGAGTCGTTTCCTGGTCGTGTAATTTCCCGTTTCGGTGATCAGAATTAGCCAGCCAGATCGTGCGATTTAACGCCGTTGGACTTTTTTCTTTGGGGTCTTTTTCGAAATTTAAGGTTTATGCCCACGACTGTCCATGCCTCGAAGGAGGAAATTGAGCCACATTTATGCAAAACGGTGATGGAAAATTTCAACAAAAGAACGCGTATGCGTCGGCAAAGACGTGGATGTCATTTATCCGATATGCTATTCTTTACGAATCAATAAAAAAATTCACAATTTTTAATCACAAACCTGTATTTTCTCTCGAAATTATACTTCTCGCGCGAATTTTGGGACACCCTTCACATACGGCTTGTCCCGTCGCAGGAATCATTGGAAATTCGTAACGAGGCTTTTGTACGTGATTCGACAAGACATGATGCGGGCGAAATCTGGCCCGTGGGAATCAGTTCAGAAGCGATTCGTGAGAATTCGCCCACCGGCGTCGTTCTTTCACACGTCGTCACTCGTTTCGAATCGACGATTCTTAACCGAGCCAATTAAGTTTCGTCGAACGAAGCGAAATGGTTTCGAATCGAAACAGGATAGGAACATGGACGTTTAACCTCGAAACAATACAGTTCAACGAACAAACCATTATGACTCTCGTTCAACAACCGAATCGATTCCCCTTCTGATCGATACCCGCTTCTCGTTCATCGATTAACCGTTTCGCACAACTTTGTCAATTCCTTCTCGACTCACCTTTGCTCGAAGCGCTTCGATGCCTCCTGCGCCTGGATCTGCTGCAGGACCTCGGCCTCCGCTCCTCCCCGTCCACACTGTCAACCGTCGGCACAGGTGGCGCCATCGCGTCAGGCTCCGCCAAACCGGCCGAGCTCTGCTGTTTCCTCGACACGTTTTCGAGCCTGCTAGAACAAGAGCCTCGCTCCTTGCCCAAGAAAGTGCTGATCGAGTGTCTTCTTCGACCCGTTCCCGGTATACTGGACGAGAGATTGTAATACCTACAAAAGATAGAAAAATTTCCAATGGATGCAAACGATGCGTCGATCGATAATTAAGCGCACGATAAACGTACGTTTCTCTAATGAGCACAGACCTGGCATCGTCCACGCCTACGAACACCTCGTTCGACTCCCGATCTTCCTCTCCTTCTCCTTCCTCCCCTCCCTCTCCCTCCTCCTCGTCCTCCTCCTCGTCTCCGTGATTATCCCTCGCCAACCCGCAATACACCATATCGTTGGACAAAAGCTCGCTGGCCGACTTCAACGCCCCCCTGCTCCGCCCTGGCCTCCTCTTGTCGTTCTCCGAGTGCGAGTGCGATCTGTCGTGTATGGAAACAATCGGTTGCCGAGAATCGAATCGGTTTTTCTCGAAAATCGATTTTTCTTGAAAAATCTGTTTTTTTTCGAAAATCGGTTCGAACGAAGGGGTTGGTTATACGGACCTGTGGGGCAGGTAGGGCGAGGGTGGGGCGACGTCGGACGGCCTTGGGTCACCCTTGAGGAACTGCTGGGTCCTCTCCGGGTCCGCGTTGGCGCTCACGGACCTGAACAAACTCCTGAAGCTCCTTCTCTGGTTTGCGCATGCGCCCCCCTGGGGTCCGTTGCAGTGCGGGCTCGGGCTGCTCCTCGGCGCTGCGCTCCGCTCATCTGAGCCGTTGCCCCTGTTGCCGCCGCCCTCCCCTGTTGCCGTTTTGCAGGCGCGTCGACGGAACAGTGCCGTCAAGCCGGGCTTCGAGGGGGGCGAAAAGGCGACGGCGCTCGTTGCCGGCGCGGACGACGACGACGACGACGCCCCGCTCGACAACGAGAAGTACGAGGGGTTGTCTGTGAACATGCGGATATTCTCTCCTGTGTATCTATCCCACTTTTTCTCTTCTCTTCCCGATTCTAACTTTTCTCTCGAGCCGTCATCTCATCATCGACCACGTATTGCAAATGAAACTTCGACGATGATGATTTTCTTCCAGAATTTTTGTTTCACTCAAGGGGAAAACGGCGACACTTTCACGAAAAAAAAAAAAAGGGGGAAAGAAGAATCTCTGGACAAAATTCGAATTGTGTCCCGTTTCGCGCGGAATAAAATAAATAAATAAATAAATAAATAAATAAAGGTGTTGGGCGACCACCAAACGAACACGAGGTCCACCTGAGACTGTTCGGTTCCACGGAGAGATACACCATGCCTATAGGACGCCATCGACGATTCGAATGGTACTCGAAAGTGGGGGGATGGACCGGACGTGGTATTGTCCCCCACCCCGTAAACCAGAAGCGAGCTACGTACGAGGCAGACGTACGCGGCACCGGAAGTCCGCCGTTCCGTCGTTCACGATCCAAGCGTTATTACTCTCCGAAGATGAATTGACCTCGTGCTGTGCGACGAAGGGAAAAAATGGAGGGGGAAGGGGAGATAGTTTCCTGTAAAAAATGAACCGTTTCTCGTTTCGTAAACACGAGAATTTCGTTACTATTATTTTTCTTGATTGTAAAATTATTTCAACGCGTGCAATTCTTATCGTGGGTTGTTTAGGGATAATGGAATAATGGACGTGCGTTTGTAATATGAAGTTTCAAATTTTTTTCTATTTTCACCCTGCTCGATTCGATATTCTCTTTTTATTATTAATAATATTATTTATTAATTATTTTATTAATTATTTATTAAATTATATATTAAATTATTATTATTAATAATAATCCAGGAAAATGTTTATGAGAAAAGAAGAATAGGACTCTTCCTTTCCACTTTTCGAAAAATAAGTAAGTAAATTAAATTTTATTTATAGTAAATATTAGTGCTCGTCTAATTTTCGAAAATCGGTAGAAATAAGGACGAATCAACTCTTTGCCCTCGAGATGTATCTTTACGTGCAGAGAAGGAAGATTCGAATGTTAAACTTTATGTATATCGTGATATTTTGTGAAGCCAAGATGCGTCCTCGATTAGTCATTAACCTTACAATAATACTTCTTAACACATTGCGTACGAGATATCGTTTTAACGTTCTTTCGATTCGAGTCGAGGAATTAAAATCACTCGAAGCGATAAAATATAAGATACCACACTCTGAAGCATTATTCGAGTTTGTAAAATGAATAATAATTAATCGATTCTATTTTAATTAACAATTAACATAATAAATAATAATTAAAACGTAATAAAAAAATCTTATATAATAAGTAGATGAAGACAAGAAATATATATATATATACAGAAATATTTAAGAATATTTTACAAACGTGAGTTAAAAAAAGTGCATATACGCATGCATATATTTTTTTTAGAGCGCCCAAAAGCGAGCAAAATTGCCGTACGCGATGTGTTAAAATTTGCCAATTCCGATTTCACAATCGTCGTCGTGACGTTTTTTTCGATACGTAACGAATTTATGAATACGAACGGCGAAGAAGAAGAAGAAGAAGAAGAATGCGAGTCTAAAGATCGAATTATAGATTCTGTGCGCTGCTCGGAAATAATACCGTTCCCGGTATCGAGGCGCGCATTAATACGCGATAAATATCGATTTCGAGGGGGGCAGGGTGTAATAAACGGCGTAAACTCGGTGAAACCGGGGGCGAAACGGAGGGGAAGGGAGGAGGGGGGGAGGGAGGAAAAGAGAGAAAATGAAACGAGGAAAGCGCG